TTTTTCTGATATTAACGGTCACATAAGTTAATCAACTTAACACAATTTTACCAGAAAGTCGAGCATGCTCTTTAAAAATAGTCTTGGCATTACCAATTATTGATTTTCTTTGGTGAAGGGTGGCAAATCTTTAAATAGGTAAATGTCTTGGTCACTGTAGCACATGACACTGACTAACGCTCATTCAAAACTAACATATATACAAAGAATTCCTCATATATTGTGAACAAGGTAGACTCTCTTCGAAAAAGCTAATGTCAATTTAGGATTGAAAATATTAATTAAAGGACTTAGTGTCATGTTCAAAACTTATTCTGTAGATAAATTTTTGTAAATAATGAAAGTTAACATGGAGAAATTTTCCTAACAAGTTATTAAAATTGTCCACAAAAATGGAAGGATAACCTTGTCATCTTCAAAACTTGTCTGGTGCATGACTATCAAACCCCATGCACTAGACAAATCTATAACTGCGTACCCAACCTTCTTGCATGTGGACCAGACACAATGAACAAGACAAGTTCACCATTTTACACTAAACTCCCTGTAAGAACTGTATATATCTATCAAACCCCATATCAGAATTACGTGTGATCTGATAGAACTCTAAATAGTCCTAATATTTGTAATTATTGATTTCGTCAACGAGAAGAGTGACAGTCCTTAAGTAGACGAGTGGCAGATGAAGTTTATAAATGTATTGGTCCCAACTGCACTTATTTGTCCTTCTTTTTGACAATTTCACCGCCTCAACTATTACCCCTTTTTTTACATTGCCCCCTAAACCATCATGTTCACATTGCACATTCAACTATGTGATTAATTGATAATTCATGTCCATTACAAATTTGATGAAAATTCCCCCTCACATTGCACCTTTAGCTATGTAATTAGTTTCACATTGTTCCGATACTTCACATCCGTTACAAATTTGATGAAAAATTATTTTAGTTTGTCCCTCAAACTCCCCCAACACAATGACAATTTTCATCCAAAAAGATGGCGGATATTTATTTTTGGGACAATGAGAAATAATTTGACTCCATCCAATTTGAGTATGATTACTTTCGACTCTATTGTGTTTAACCAAATCAAACTCGAGTTGAACCGAGTTCAACTTTTTATTAAAAACTTCTCAAGTTAAATTATTTGATTTAATTGTTAATTAAAATCATTAATTTTTCAAAAAAAATAATTCCAAAATCAGAATAACAATTGTAAAATCAAACGTTCAAATATTCCAAAAGTCTCTTTAAAGAAAGAGGGGGATAGAAGTGTTATTGCCTACAATTTCTTGGGAATAAACAAAAAAATGTTCAACCTGAGCAAAATGTTTTTTAAATTTGACTTATTTAGAAAATGAGCTTGCATTGTTAAAAAAAAAATTGAGTTTCCAAATCTTATTAACTCAACTCATTTATAAATTTAGATTAGTTTAAGCTAAACTCAATTCAACCGAGTTTAACAAAATTTAACTGACACGTAAAAAGACATCGCTTGTACATTAATTGGGACGTGTTAGAGATGTGGTAAAATCCATTAACATCTTATAATATCATTATAGTATGGATAAAATCATATTATAACTGTAGATATTTTGTCCTATTAGAAAAAAAAGGGAATAAAATTTTATCATACCCTTCTTTGTCAGATGTTTTTTTTTTGGAAGATAAAATGATTATATTGAAACAAAAAAGACAAGATACAGTGGGGTGAATTCCCTTACAAACAATAGGAATCACCGAATTAACAGAAGGGAGAATTCCCATACAAATAATAGGAATCACCTATTTAAGAGCCAAACTATTGAATTCCGGGGGAAGTGAGGATGGTTGTCCAGACTTCCAACAAAATGTGCTAGTGAAGAGATTAGCCTAAACAACTATTGGAGATCTGCCACGATTGAGCGAGTCGCAAGTTTCTGTTGGTGGGCTTGAATCTGAGAGAAGCAGCTCTGTCTCTAATGGTTTGGACAATGAGGCTGAGGAGGGAGGAGTGGTCCCTAGACTTGCCTTGGTGAATTCTAATGTTTCTTTTCGACCAAATGTAATAGATTGATACAGCAAGGCTGAGCTTTAGGAGGGTGGTGCACATAGAGTTACCTTTCCAATGTTGGCTTGCATAGTTGATGATCCCCTACCATGACATGATTTGCATTTGTTGCCCATTAAGGAGAAGCAACTGGCCCTAGATAGAATGAGAGGAAGAACATTCAAAGAAAATGTGGGCATGTGACTCAGATGAAGAGTTACAAAGAGAACATTCCAAACTAATGTCAGCAGAAAAAGAACAAATTTTGTCTTCGGTGCTGAGTCTGGATCTGATGGCAAGCCACAAAATGAAGGACATTCTAGGGATTGACTTGCTATACCAGATAAGGTGATGCCAAGAGACTTCTGGGGATGGAGATCTAATGATATTCCAAATTGAGGAAGAGGAAAATGTACAACCTGGGGAGGGAGACCATTTGATATTGTCCTCTCTAAGTGGAGATGGAAGATAATTAGGCATGGAGAAAGAGATATCCATAAGTTGAGGAGAGTTTGTGGAAAGCCAGTTCCAATAGTTGCCATCCACAATAAAACTCACATTAGCATTCAAGGGAATTCCAGAATCTTCCACAACATTAGCGTTACATATGGATTGAAGAGGACCACGGGGGTGCCAATTGTCAAACCACAAGTGAGTGCTTGTTCTATTCCCAATAACATGGTAGATGTGGGGTCTGAGAGTATCATTTAGCTTAAGTAGGTTAAGCCAGTTCCATGAGCATGTTTGGGGTGGCTTTACCTCCCAAATGTTCTTTCTTCCTCCTTTGAGATGGTAAGAATGAATCCACTTGACCTAGAGATTTTGATTATTGATGAAGAGGAGTCAAATGTATCTGCACATAAAGGCAGAATACAAGTCCTTGAGATTCTTGATTCCCAAGCCCCCTTCATTCTTAGCCTTACAAACATCATCTCATGCAATCTTGGCCCCAGTAGAATTCAAATCAATACCTTTCCATAAAAAAGATCTCAAAATTTTCTCAATGGAATTAGGACTTGTTGTGGAATAAAAAGGTTGGAAGCCCAGAAGATTTGGATGCTAGAAAGGATAGACTGAATCAGTTGGAGTCTTCCTGCAAAAGAAAGAGACTTATTGATCCAGCACTTAACTTTTGCAGCAGTCTTCTCGATCAATGGGGAGCAGCGGGTAGCTTTGAGTCTGGTGGAGATAAGGGGAACTCCAAGATATCTAACAGGGAGTTGGCCTTCAGAGAAACCCAACAATCGAATAATCTGAAGCCTAGTATCTTGGGGAATGGCTGTCATGAAGATCTCACTTTTATAGGGGTTAGCTTGGAGACCTGATATTTTCTGAAAAAGATTAAAAGCTTCCTTCAGAATTTTGACAGAATGAAAACAACCTTTGCAAAGGAGAAGGAGGTCATCAGCAAAGGAAAGTTGAATAAACTTCAATTTCTTGCATCTCCAATGAAATTTGAATTGGGGGTTAGAGGATGCTTGTTGTTGCATAATTGCATTGAGAATCTCCGTGGCAATAACAAAGAGGTAAGGTGAACAAATTGTAAAATTGAGTGAGACCTCTTCAAAGTTGCTAATTGAACAAATTGTAAAATTTGTCATTTTTTGGAGTTTATTCCGAGCACAATCGGATGATGTCATATATCTTTAAGTTCACCTAGGGTGCTTTGGGTATTAGATAAATGATGGTGAAAATAAATTGGGCATGACCGATCACATTTGTTTCAAGATTTTAAAATTCCAAAACAAACTAAAAACCATTTTTATTTTATTTCTTGTATTGTTCACTCTGCTCTGAATTGGAGAAATAAATTAAGCTAACATTTATATGGTGTAATTAATTTTCAAGAATTTTAATATCAGTAGTTTCATTTCTTTTGAGTCTTCATAGCTATTTTCTTTCAATGTCTCATTGTGATGATTTTCTCTGCAAACTCAACAATTAATACATATTAGAAACACTAAAAACTAAAAATTTATGAGTAATGTTAGATGGACTTAAAAACTAGACTTAAAAATTAGACTTGATAATCTCAACCATTGAATAGATAGTAGATCCTAATAAATGATGGGACCCACAGTGAAATTAATGGTTGAGATTATCAAGTCTAATTTTTAAGTCTACTTTTTAAGTCCATATAGCATTGCTCAAAATTTATTAGAAGTGAGTTTCTATTTTAAATGAAGTTTACTGTCAATCTAATGATGTACATTTGAACACAATATGTCTGTTTATTGAGAGTCCGCTTAAAATCATTTGGACCTTAGTCGAGTGGCCATCATCATACTCGCCATATATTGTTGCAGTTTTTTTTTTTTCACTATCTTTAAGTTGTAGATAGGAAACTGCTTATTATGAAAACGTGAGACATGAGAACAAAATAATAGAAAAAGGCTCCCTGAAAAAAAAAACACAAGAAATCATGAAGATAACAAGGTAGAGAAAGAGGTTTATAGTTTAAGTCTACCCAAAGTTTAGCTCTCCATCATGATCAAGTAATCATATACTTTAAGTCTGGACTAGAATTACAAATCTAAAAATATATGATTCCAACAAAACCCTTCTCCCTCCATATCTACCACCCACCACCACACCCTTCTCGCCCACCCGCGAAACACCCTCCGACTAACTTCTAGCATCTGAACATACCCTTTCCTACTCACTTTCCTCCAACTAGCACCCACACTCAACCACCAATAAAACACTCACTGCCCACCAAACCGACTACTAACAACACCAAAAAATCTAGATCGAGAGTCACATGACTATCGCCGGCCCACAATGAAAAAAACCCAAGTCATTTTAGTGTTTATTATCCATTCACGACACAAATAACCAAACACCAACATTTTATAGTAGAAAAAAATGTCGAGAGTGAAGACACATAAATACTACTACATTACGGTAAATAGATGATTAACTTACTACATATAAAACATTAAAAAAAACCACCTATATTAACCCACAACTTATTCATCATCTTCGTCTACATAATTTGGATCCTTTTTATCTATTGCCGGTGGTGCTATGTTAAACCTTACGTGCCCTTCTCCCACTGGACCTTCCCAGGTATGTATCCCGCCACGACCCTTCTTGTGGTCGTGGTTGATTGGGAGTCCATCACCTGGCTGGCGGTCCAGCCTAAGATTTCCCTGTTGGATTTGTTTTTTCCTATCATGCTCACTTTTCCTATCTTCTTTTGCATTGTGCTTGTGATGGTCTTCTTTGGGATTAGACTCCATTCCAACAAATGTCCTCAGGCAGTTTCTACTAGGAGCAAAGTTTGTTTGGCTGTGTTTTTTTCAGAGGCGGAAGACCAGGTCACACGATACTTCCCCACTCCCAATGTTTGGACCACCGTTGATGAGGACTATAAAATTATTTAATACACTATATTTGTTCCCTTAAATTTTTTAAAATTTTAATAATGGTTCTAATCTTTCTTTTTTCAATAAATTAGTGGTCCACTAACTTTCTAAAATAAATATTTTATTTTTTTGATTGAGTAAATCAGATGTAACTACCCCGATCTATTTTGTATATTGACCAAAAAATAATCTCTTTTTACCTAATACAATATTCGTTATTTTTTAAGAACAATTGTTAGTGTTTATTTACCATTTTTTTGTTAATAGTAATCTATAACCCAAAAAAATACGATTGTATACAAAAGGCAAAAAAGTTTTAACTCAAATATTTGAAGTTGTTTCGAATAGAAAATTTCTCTATAAGATCGATAATGATCTAAAGTAAGTTTTGGACTAAATGAAGAATAATTTTACTACAGATTTGTGATTGTGCGCACTGATAAAAAATTAGTAAAAAAATTCATTTACATTTAATTAACATACAAAATTTTAGAGATTTTAAAGAACTTCATATTTTATTGAAATATATAATTGTGTTAAACTGTACTAAAAAATTTATTTTGTGTCGTTTTTGTTCAAATTTTAATTAATTTTTTGTATTGACTAATAAAATATATTCAGTTACATTTTGTTCCCTCATAGATATTCTTACTTCCGCTCTTGTTTATAACCATGAGAGGAGGTTAGGCATGGAGTGCTAGCCAACATGCAAATCAAATTGAACCATTCATTCAAAATAGATTCCACTAAATGAGATTGGTATGGATGAGTCTATCGGTAGGAAAACGTCAAAGATAGCAATTATTAATGTAAAGCCAGAATTAAGGTTCCAATTAGATGATAGTAATTTTTGAAAAATTAAGACCCGAAATTGCTTAGTAAATAAATTAGAAGTGTATTAACATATCATGATAAGATTTATCAGTGACTTAACGGAAAACTTAGAGAGCTAGCATCATTAGAATAGTCATTAATGACAATATTTTATCTATTAAACAGGATTGAGTAGACCCGGTGGCAGAGCCAAGAATATGATCTAAGGTGGACATATTTTAACTACAAATTTTATTTTATCCTCTAATTGATAAAAATAATATGATATATTTATATTTTTTACATTACATTTTATATTTAAAAATTCATTAAACATAAAATGACCTAAAATCAATATATATGCTATGCAAACAAAAAATAACTAAAAGCAATCCTAACTTAGACATGAATAGCATTATAAATCATATTTAACTATACTATCCAAACAGATTTCGGGGAAAAAAAAGGAGCCAATAAAATCCCAAAAATTTGCAACTTATTCACAGCTTAAACAAGCCAAGAAATTACAATGGTACGCTATGTCAAACACCTTTTGTGATTCTTGATAGTTTTTATTGTAAAAATTTCATGTCAATCGGACATCAGCATAAAAACTTATTTCTTAAATACTAAGATAGTATCAAACTCTTTTCTATCCAAATTCTGTCCAAAATAGATTTTAACTCTAAAATACTTCTAAACTTCTAATACAACTCATAACTTCTTCTAATGTTTTTCGACCTTACAAATTCAATGGAAACCTTATTTTGACCTAAAAATATTTATAAATTACTTAGCCACCTTTCTCAAACTTACACATCTCCAAAACTCAATTTACTCCGAAAGTCAAATACGCTTGAAACTCAAACTTCATAATCAATATTTTACTACAACCTTGAGGGATTGAATGGTTAATGAGTCTGCGAGTATTTCTTGTACATGGGGGGTGTAGTCTAGGAAAACGTGAGCAGCTTGGTCAAATTCGTTGTTGATGTACCCCCAGACGGTGACGATGTCGTCAAAGTTGACTAGGTGTCGAGGCCATGGAGCAGTTTTAGCGTTGGAGACTCCTGCACAAAAGGAAACAACATTAAAACATAAGCAAAATTTATCAAGGCAAAGAAAGTTGAGAAAAGAAAGGGAGAAGCCGACGTACTTGTCGTTCGTCACTCCTTGTGGCACCACAAGCCGTCGTACTCGGGGCCGACCCCCCACTCCCAGTCACCACTAAAGACCAATAAATCGTCTTTGTACCCCCTTGTCCAAGTCCGGGAGGTGTGTCACAAGGTAGATTGAGGGATCTCGGCCTTTCAGGTCGAAGTTTTGATGGGGCATTACCCTTAGTAAGGTGTAGCAACAGAGGATATCCTCGAGGCCGAGGTTGACCCTGAGGCATTCGTTTAGGACCACAACTCCTATGATGATCCTAAATGTGTTTAGGCAACATTATCCTAGGAAGAGACGGAATTAGGATACAAAATGGAGGGGAATTTGATTCCACCCTCCATGACGGCTTTGGTATAGAAGAACATAGAGTCCACAGTGCTGACGTCGGTGCAGTGACGTCCTAGGACGAACCCATCCACGCCAACAGTACGGGGAATGTAATAATGGGTTATGAAGTTAGTGATTTGTTGGCGGCCTTTGATAATGTACTTCCTCGGCCTAAAGGGGCCAGCCTCCTCGACCTCGGCGGCAGTATGACGGAGTATCAACATTTCAAAGGAGGAAAAAAGGACACCAAGAAAGGGTTTTTCTAAGGCTGGGAATCCTAAGGGACACGCAGAGAACCCAGTTACTCAATGAAGCAAAGGACAACACCGAAATGGACAAAAAAAGGGGAGGATGACTGCCAGAAATGAAAAAAAATGAGGAAGAAGAAGAGAGAGAAAGAAAGGATGGGACAGTGTACTTACCACGATCAGAGGGTGCAGGTACAGTGGTTGAAGGCTTTCTTCTTCGACGATTCTTGAAGGAGATGGCAGTTGGTTCAGGCGAAATAAGGATTCTCCGATTGAAACTCCAGTGGAAAGGCGTTAGACTTCTGAAAGTTACAGAAACTGGAAGAAGGAAGCATGAGCCTTGTTTAAATAAGGACTCCTGACCCCATCATTGCGCACAAGACATGATGAAGATGCATTAAATGGGGCACGATCTCCAAAGAAGGGAAAGCGGTTGCACAGTAATGGAGGGACTGAGCCCTTTCATCTTCTGCCGCCCATGTCGTACAAAGGTCAAGGGATGGGGGGCACCACTCAACAAACACATCTCTCATCTTAGTGAACCTAGGTTGAGTTGAAGCTTCATCAATATCCATGGCTGCTCACTTGGGTCTTCTTCAAATCCCACATCTCATATCTCCAACCCCAACATTTTTGGACACCAAGTGGGCTTTTCTTCAAAACCTACTTCTAATATCCCTCAAGCAGTATCTGGAACCCCATAAGAAGCAAACCCGGATGGAGAAATTGAGGTTTCAAAGCCCAACAAATCCCTCCAACTTGTTGTCATTTTTGGCCTCTAGTACTTCCAAAACATGGTGTTCAATATCTACAATAAGAAGGTATTGAACATCTTCCCATTCCCTTGGCTTCTTGCCTCTTTTCAGCTCTTTTGTGGGTCTCTCTGGATGCTCATTCTCTGGCCTTTCAAGCTCCAGCCATGCCCAAAAATCTCCAAATCTTTCATCATTGCCCTTCTTGGACTTGCACTGTTCCACACAATTGGCCACATCTCAGCCTATGTCTCATTCTCTAAGGTGGCTATTTCTTTCACCCATGTAATCAAATCTATAGAACCTGTTTTCTCTGTCGTGTTTTCGTCGTTCCTTGGCGATACATACCCATTAACTGTTTGGCTCTCAATCCTCCCCATTGTTATGGGTTGTTCTCTAGGGGTCATCACTGAAGTTTCCTTCAACTTTGCAGGCCTATGGGGGGCTTTAATTAGTTCTTCGCAATATTTATTCTAAAAAACGTTTGCAGAGCTTTAAGGAAGTAAATGGGTTGAATTTGTATGGTTGGATTACTATAATTTCATTGCTATATCTATTTTTTGTGGCAATTTTTGTTGAAGGGTCTCAGTGGATTGCAGGGTACCATAATGCTATTGAAACTATAGGAAAATCGTCCACATTTTATAGTTGGGTGATTTTATCTGGGGTGTTTTACCATCTCCATAACCAATCATCTTACCAAGCACTTGATGATATTAGCCCCTTGACATTCTCCGTGGGAAACACAATGAAGAGGGTTGTGGTGATTATCTCCACTGTCTTGGTTTTCAGGAATCCGGTTAGGCCTTTGAATGCGCTTGGATCTGCCATTGCAATATTTGGGACTTTCTTGTACTCTCAGGCCACGGCTAAGAAGCCGAAGAAAGATGGAGGTGAAAAGAAGAGCTAAAGCGATCTCATTTTTCAGTTATTTATCTATTGGATATGATATCGTCTTTTGGATCCCGTTATGGAAATTCCATTGTTTTGGTGTTTTCTTTTTCCATCATAATGTGTTAGCTGTTTGTTTTTTTGTTGGCATGTCCTCATGGAATGTAAGTAACAATAACATAACTACTTTTGGATATAAGAATGTTTGCATAGTGTTGCTTTGGGTTCAGATTGGTACGTTCATCTCACAATGGTATCTTTAGATTAACATATGGATGAAAAATTGGTCGAAAGGTGAAGAAAGGCTCATGAGTGTACCTATTAAAGGGTAAATCAGTTGACAGTGAGTGTCTAAATATTTTCTCAGTCTCTTGATACAGCACAAAGATTGTTGATGTGATTACCTGTAAATGAGAATTGCTTGTTTGTTTGTAAATTTTGGTGGAGAATGTTTTTTTTTATTCATAGTAAAAAATTATTTCTTTATATGGAGCTGGTCAGTGGTCATTTATCTATAGTATTCTGCCATGGAGAAACCTGTACCATTTTGGTATTTAATTCTAGTTTGTGCATGAATGTGATATCCCATTATATGTCCTGGTGATATGTGGGATGTATGTAATGAAATTATGGTCCTCGAACCTTGGTTCGGGTAGTGAAGATGTCAGGGGTGTGGTTGTTTTACTAAGAAAGAAAACCAAAAGAAGATAATCACGTGAAATTTTCTTGATCATGTGGTGCGACTGGAGTACATGCAACTTCTTTGTTTGAAGAAAGAAGACACCAACAAGAGGGATAGGATTTGTGTAATCTGTTGGTGTCTTTAATGAAGAAGATGCTAGCTCTCGAGTGATCAAAGGTTCATTTCTCTTTAGCAAGATATGATTAAACACTTTTTTACCTATGTGTGGTTTAATTTGATAACAAATTACCTCCCTATGTTTCAAAATCATATGCATAAGCCTCCTAGGATTTTGGATTGAGTGCAAATCATTAATTCGATTAATGGAAATATCAAACTGACACAAGACATCAGTCTTTTGGGCTTCAGTTTTGTATTGACATTAATGTAGAGTTGTGTAATTGTTATTTCCTGGCGACGAATCTGTTGTTTGGTTTGCTTGATGATAGTGTGACCATGTAGATATCAGAGAATGGGGAAAATAAATTGGCAGGAGACTGAATTTTCTTGGCTTCGCATCATCTGTCATTTGTTTTACTTCTTTCAAATACTTATACATCCTATTTTTATTTTTGCTCCCTTTTTCTCTCTCTCTCTTTTTTTTTGTCATGTAGTTTCTCTATCACTTTAATCTCTTGTCTTTATTTAATCATATTATTCAGGAATTGGATTTCGAACTCTCACTTTTACATAACTCATCTATCTCTGCGAACCGTGTCATATTGACTGTGGGTACTGAGTTGTGTTCTTTGACATGCCCTTCAACTCATGTTTGCACTTGAAGAAATCTGTTCATCAATAAACAGGAGGCATTTGTTTCACCCGTTT